TATAGTTTATCTATTTTTATATTGTTAATTATATTTTTATATTACTGAAAAATGAGTATATATGAATGTTACACAAATTATTTTAGATCTATAAAGGGTATCAATGGTGGGGAAGGCTATGCTGTTTTAAGTAGCGTTGGTGTCTGATCTGAAGGGCGAGGTTAGATCTTTTCAAGGAAGAGCTTTAGTTTGAATAAAGTATTAAATAATGACAAAGAATAGTACAGCTTCCAAAATTTTCTGTCTGTTTCTGGACAAACCTCAAAATTAAATAAATGGTTGGTCTGGTTTCTGGGACGAAGAGAAGTACCTGTTCCTGGGCTCATTGGTGAGCTGAAGGGATTTGCTGTAACCTTGCTTTCTGTGTAGCAGAGATGCTGAGGAATGCTGTGCAGCTTAAAACACTCTTTAAGCTGCTCTGGGTTGCACTGGAAGATGGTCTCAAACAATCACAGGGCTTGGAAAAGTCCTTACCTTTGCTCCTCTGCATCCCAAGGGTGGTATGGACATCAGTGCTCCCTTCCCAGGCACAGCAGTGAGAAGCAGCAGCCCTGTACCTGTCTTTCATCATTTTGGTTCTCCTTTGTTTTCTCTGTATTTCTAGCTCCCACTTCTTTTTCTCCACTTGGTTTGTTTCTTGTAACAGTCTCTTGCTGCCATTTTCCTGCTGGACTTTCAGTTTCTCTTCCAGGTTCATTAAAGCTGCCTGCATGAATGTGGTGAGAAGACAAAAATCTCCTGCTGACCCCTTGAATAGCTCAAGGCAGCAACTAGCAAGAGAAGGGGAACATGCACCCTCTTCCCTAGCCTCCAAACTGCCCCGGCCATGTCCAGCAGACAGGGACTCACCTTGGCATGACCTTGTGAGCACGGGGTCTCAGTGCAGTGCTGGGCCCTGCACAGGACAGAGCTTCTGCTGAAGCCCAGGAGGCTGTTCAAAAATAACATAGTTCCTTGTACCTGGGATGCTATTGGGATAAACGCTTACCCAAGCATAGGGAGATGTTTTACCAGATGAAGTTGAGCGTAGATTTCTAAACACTAAATTGCAGCACACTGCAAACTGAGCAAGCTGACACCCACGCTCCCCCGGGGAAGAAAATTTCAGAGGCTGTTGCCATGTTTTTGGGACAGGCTGTGGGAGGCCTACAGAGCGGTGTGCCAGTAGCTCAACTCCAGCATGATTGGGAAGTTACATTTCGGATCACTCAGAGTGACCTAACATAGCAGCTCCCTGAGAGATAAACAAGTCATCTTTCCTTTCTCTACCAGTGGATGTGCTGCAGATTTTTCCCAATTTCTCCCCCGCCTTTCGCTATCACACTATTCTCATTCTTATTTCTTTAGTGTCTGTCCTAATGTGAAAGTGGAAGCCAGTGATAGCCAAGAGGAGCATATGAAACAGTCATGAGGGAAAAAGGGTTGGATTTTTTTTTTTTTAGTATGTTCTCTTTTTTTCCTCTGTTGTCTCAACAACAACAACAAAACCCCAATTTAGCATGGTGGAAGTGGCTTATCTAAGTCTTGTTATATTGGTTGCTTTCTGCACCTAATGGCAAAACAGCACAGAAACCTTTTTTTTTTTTTTTTTGAACTTACAAGGTTACAAATTTGAAACTTAACCAAAATGAAGTTAAAATCTTACAATAAAAGTAGTGTTGAAAACAAGGTGACAAATCAGCTGAGCTTTATTTCTTTCCATAACTTGCTGGGGCAGGGAAATCTTTTTTGACTAATTGTTCACTTCCAACTTTTTTTATTAACTCCCTTTATGTGTGTCAGTCATAACACCACCTGCATCCAGAAGACAAATGGTATCCTTTGTACCTAAGTAGTGAAATGAGATGCATGTGAGGTCGGTGTCAGCTCCAAATAGAGGTGTTTGGAAGTTTAAAGCCAGAGTTTTGTTAAAGGCGAGCCAATATCCTCCTGAGGATTTTCATGGGACTAGGATGATTTACACCAGATGAAGATTTGGCATTTCAGATGTACACACATATACGACTGATTTCACCCTCATACTTAGGAAAATGAAAGTTTTAGGGTGAGTAACAGATCACAATGCAACAACTTGTAGTACCTTCAGACCTCCACACAGTAAAGGCAGATGATCTGCAATTAAAGTGCAGCCTGGCAATCTCCCTGCCTCTGAGCCTTGCCTCCCAGCACCTGTGAAGAAACAGGATGCCCAGATCCCTTCACGCAGCCTTGCTGTGCCTGGAGAGCCCTGCAGAATAAGGCAGTGGTAGGAAGCTGCCCCCCACAGAACAGCGCTCTGTTGTTGTGAATTAGGGGGGATGGCTTGCTCTTGTCCCGAGGGCAGAAGTTAAAAATACACGGGGGTGGCAAGGCACCTCCTTTCCACTGACTTTTCTTGGGACTCGGGGTGTGTGTGGTGTGTGTTTAACTCCCAGACATGAGTTTTCGTGCTGAGGATTTAAACGTCCTGTTGGATACATATCAGCAATAATGTTACATTCAAAGCAGCAGATAGCTAAATGACATTCCAGAAGGGAATAAATTAGCTTAAATTTGTTTCTCTCAGTCTGAGGGCATAGTGTATGTGAATTTGGTACTTGTTTAAGAGAGGGCAGTGAGAACAGAAGCCTCTTGTTTCAGCTTGTCAGAGACAGACTGCAGTGACAGGTTCTGGATACGCGCATCACTTTCTTCGAATTTACGTGGGTCATTGAGGAGAGACATCGCAGAGAGCCTGCTGTCACTGGTCCAGGCTTCCTGCTCAAACATCTAAAACCTCACCCGGGCTCTGCAGGGGAGACCTTTTCAGTTTTCTGCATCACAGCTAATCCATCCCCATTTCTTCCTCTTGTTTCTCTGGCTCCAGGGAGGCTGGGTGGGAAGTGGATCTAGCGCAAAGCAAAAATGTGAGAGTGTTTCACACTGTGGTTTGGTAAGCTACAATATGTAAGGAAAACAGGAAGATGCCAAAATGCATGTGTGTGCTATGGGATTAGTGTGTTTATTTGGACAGGAACAAGTTACAGTAGATAAGCACCACCACAGCATCCATTGCATGCAGTCAAACACACAAGTTTATTGATTCAGACCCCCTAAAGTGGAAGGACAGTTGAGAACATTATTATAGGTAAATATAATATTTTTTCCTAATGTGTGGGCTAGTTCTTGTTTGCTTTCCTACCTAGAGCACTCAGGGGCTGAATTTGTCAAAGCTTCCTATGAAAGCATAGTTCTCATGCATTTAGATGCTTGCTCATTTGAGCCACCGTATAGGCTTTTCCTTTGCAGTGCTTTGATGAACCATTTTTCTTTCCATCCTGAGAATCAGTTATTATGGTTATGGGCTTTCCTCTTTTCCTGCACTGCACCCCAACCATTGAATACTCCTTGAATTTTCTCATCTTTCCTGTCTAAGCCACCAAATGCCGTTAAGAGCAATATAGCAGATCTCTTGTTCTGGTTCTTTGACAGCCTTGTTTGCCACCTGAGGTATTTCTCAGTAACCAAATGATCTTTCTAGAAAACAGTGCTTCTCTGGCTCCTGGGTACTGCAATATTCTTAACATCACTGAGATTTATAACATGTTTGGTGAAAGGTTCTGCAAAAATGTCAAGTACTGGTTGATATTAATGAAAAACAGGCTGTTCCCTAAGCCATAAAAACTATGTTCTTGCAGGGACGAAGATGTCTTCGCCAAAAGATAGAAGTATGGAAGTACTGCTGGACGATGATGACCGAGATAGCATAGAATACAAGATCCTCATGGCCTACGCCCAGCGGCGGCTGTCTGTCAGTAGCTATGTGAAACTTCTGAAAAATGAGGCTAATACGCAGAAATCATCATCCCTAACCAGGAGAAAAGTGTTGATTGACCATCAAAGGGATAAAGACAGACCAAGCCACACTGTATTTTATCAGGGTGGCGTGGGGGAACTCCACAGCAAAAGGCAATCAAAAAGAAACCACTTGTCAGGATATGGTCTACGTTTTCACTGCAGCAGCGAAGAACAGAAGAAGCCCCTACCACGGCCACAGAACCAAGGTCTCAGAGCACATGTCTGCGTTTTCCAGGGACCACCTGAGAGCCATCTAGAAGGGAATTCTCAGCATCAGACAAGTATGTCTCAGTTGTTTCCTTCTGCTGTTTGTCTTTGAATCTCTCTCTAATTAGCTTAAATGGCTAGTGGCCTGTGGAAAGGGAGGAGAAGGAAGGTGGTTCCTTCACTTTTTCAAAAGGTTCACTTTTTGGCCCTTTCTTATGCCGGCTCTGTTGATTTCCGGTTAGGAAGGCAGATTGCCAGATCATCCATAGTGCTTGCACACACAAGATTTATGTTTGTGACTGGCTTTTCTGTCTTCCATTGTATGGTGGTAAGTATTGTATAACTGTACAGATCGTTTTTCTGAGCATTGGCTTTTTCTTCTTCATACTGGGTTAGAAAAAAAAACGTAAAGCACTGGTCAGACTGAAGACCTCCACACTAAAATCAAGGAAGAAAAGTTCTTTGAAGGCCCATTCAAGGAGCTTTATCATGTGATGTGCGTTCCAGAACAGACCAAAGTGCCAGAGTTTGCTTGAAACTCTGGTGCCAAGCAGTTGGCAGTGACCAGCCTCAAGCACAGAGCAGCCCGTACACATCTCTGGGCCACCTCTTATAACCCCACTGTGTATCTTAAAGGGCAACAGTCTTCCAGAGTTATCCAACTCTCCTTTACACATTGGTATTACATTAAGTCTGAACTTGCCCTCCTATGTGTTGGAAGAAGAACTGGTAGGTGGCTGTAACTGACCTGACATCCAGGGATCCCATCCACATAAATAGCTTGTACCCCAGCCCCCAAAGCCAGCCCTGCGTCAGGCGCTGCACTGCAGGCAATGAGATTTTTACCTTTTATACTCTGGAAAATAACTAATTCCTTAACTTCTCATACAAGACTGAAAGAGGAGGATGAGGTATCTGCATTAAGTTGCCACATACAGTGTTGCCATATTGTTTTCATACACATAGGTAAAGGGATGTTTGTTTAATTTGTCCTAGCTTGGATACCGTTGGTATTGCAGCAGTTGCTCTCCTGTTTTGCTGCACTTAAAGATATTTCTAAAAATTATCCGTCACTGACTTCTCCGGCCTAATGCCCCATCCCTGATCAGTTTAACTGTCCTGGGCCAGCTCCTACCCACCAAGCCCATAATTCTCCCTCCTGCCAAATCCAGCTGCATCTCTCAAGAACGGACCCCTGCCTCAGCCCAGTGCCTTTTGCTAGGGGGAAATAACTATAGCTTTCCATTGTTTGGTTGCCAGGGACATATATCTGCATCCAGATAGCCATTTTTATATCAATTTTATTTTCACATTGCCAAGGAAAGTGCTCAATAGTTTAGGTGCAATAACTTGATGGCCCTGCCAATACATTACCATGTTCCCTGAACAACATGTGGCAGCATGGCCTTGAGGTAAAACCTTCCTGTGCTGGGTGTTAACCTCCCTGGAGATCCTGCTTGGCTTCCAATACGGGCTTTACCTGCCCTTCTGCAGATTGCTGGACCAATTCCTAAGACATTATGATTATTATTTGTCACTTACACTGCTCACAGCTGCACTGCATGCTTGCCCAGGCCATTCTGGAGCACATGGGGGTGCTGTTGGGGATTATCCATCTAAATCAAAGTCCTGTCCAGTTGCCTAATCTTAGGTTTCCAAAGTCATGAACAGCCTGATCCCCTTCCTAGAAGTTTAGCAGGCCCCTGACAAGCTCTGCAGGCAGACAAGGGGATGGAAGTGTCTTGGGGTTGATTCACCAGCCTTGAAATGCAGTTTTTATTGGCTGCATTAACGCCTGCTGCCACCACAGTAAACTTTGCTTGTGAATTTTACACCAGTTGTGGGTCAGGCCACTGCTGAGCTTATCTCAATGTCTGCTCCTCACACAAGAGCTGCCACTTAGCAGCGCTGGCGGGGAGATGGAGTTTTGCATCCCAAGCTCTGTGAGGCAAATTTTAAGGAAGAACACCTTTCAGATGTAACAAACCTTGCAACAGCTCCTCCAGTTCTCTTTGTTACAACAGGATCCCTGTCAGAGTCACTGAGGGATGCCTTCAGGCAGTGAGGGTCCTGAACAGGGGCATCACACAAGGTGGATAAAGTCAGTCTGTTCTTCCAATACACGTATTTGTTTAATGTAACAGTGTCAAGGACACAAGAAGCTTTTGTGCTAGAGGAGCCTGTGAAGTCAAGTCTGCTTCTCCTTTCCTCAGGATTAGCCTGTGGGAACAAGGAAAGAGCATTCAAACACAACATCATTTCTGAATCTGGACCTGTAGATGGACTTGTCATGGGCAATACCACTCTCACACTAGGGTCTAAGGTTCAAAGTCCTATAGAGCAGTACTCTCACGTTTCTTAAAACATGGTGTGCTTCTGGCTTGCAAGGATGTATGCTAGTGAGTAACACTCATGCTTGCTTCTGTATGGCCTCTAGTATCTGAGCAGCAGATAACTGTTGAGGGTTTGTACCATGTTACTTGTCTCTCTAAACTATTACCAGCTGATCTCAAGCAATAGCAAAGTCCTAGCATGCGGAAATGTATCCCTTGGTATCTTCTGGGCACTTCCACCTCAGGGAGCATGTAAACAAGTAAATCACTATATTATTTCATGGAAAGATTAATTGCCTTCTCTATTTCCCACCTCCTTCCCAATCAGGTGAAAGAGCAGATGTCAACCATATTGCAGACAAACTTGCCAAGCTTGTGACTTCCAGATCCCAAGAATCTCCTTCAGATGTGTCATTCAAGACAACATATGATACCCCATGTCGGGAACAAGACGATAGTGTTCCTACTGGTGGAAGTGAGGGCGAGGAACACGGTAAGGGTGAAGGATTTCATGCTCACAGGCAGTACGGCGGGTTGGGATTGCACACAGGCATTTTCACTAGACATGGTGAAGCACTTGGGACTTCTGTGGTAAGACGCTGTGAAGAAGGAAGTTTGTTCTGTTGGTTTTCGCTCTGTTGCCCACATTCCAAGGGACTGCCCTTGCAGTCCTCTAACAAGTCCTGCCTGCTACTGCAATTAAAGGGGGCATCCTTAAAAATCCATGGAGGTGTGACATAAGAAAAGGAGGATGAAGGTAAAGGGATGTCAGGTGACAGAGCAGCGGTAGGAGTGGCAGGGCTGGGGACAGAGTCATACACCGGGGTTCTAAGGCCAAAGACCAGTCCTTGAGGCAATAATGTCTTGGACTATCTCTCTTCAGTGAGAGGACAACACTGCTCAACAACCTCTGTTATAATTCTGAACCCCTTGTCTTCCATGATGTCTGCAGAAATTCAGTTTTAATGCAAGGTTTCTAGGAATTCCTGGTTACAAGAAGGATCCTGCCATACTTGCATTTTCTGTAATCCAGCAAAGCTGGAGTTTGGCCTAATGAATTGCAGAAGGTATAACTGGTAATGATGAGGGGATATTTTTCCTAATATTAAGTCCGTTTTCATTGGCTTCTGCTAGCTGCTCTTTTGTTCTGGCTTGTTATCAGAGATGAGGTCAAAGCCCAAAGGGCTGGCAGCGGGATGTTAAAGCCCCTGCTCTTTCCCAGATTCTTAACTGGAGTAAAACATTGGGCAGGTGGAGAAATAGCATTGCTTACTCCACACAGACTAGAACAGTGAGCTTTTGCGTAAAGCCTGAATACACAACTCATTGTAAATTTGCCACAGAATAGCAGCTGTTTCCATGATTGACACAAAGGCTTTTGCCATAGTTTGCTATCTAGATCCTACTAGAAGGCTGCAATATTTATGTTTCTCTTTTCTTTAACAGATGAAGAAAAGATAATACAAACAATAGTTTCACTGTTAAGAGAATCAGGGGACCGACTAGAAGAAAAGGTAACTCCTTCTGTTTTCAGGAGCTCCACAGGCTAGAGCGTGAGAGAGGGACTACACTTCTCTTGGGAGTGAGTGTTTTGTAACCCAGAGCACTCTGTCTCTATCCTGAACTTCTTATTTACACATTTAGAGCTTTCTGAAACTTCCACCATTCATCCTGAAATCTTTCTCAAGAACAGAGGACTAGCAGAGATCTCCGTTGGGGTGTGGGAGGAAGGCAACAAAAATGTTGTACAAGTCAAAGACAAGCCACTTTCCTCATTCCTGTTGAGTTTCATGGCATGTTGAGCACTTGACTGAGTCTGAGAAACTCTTGTGTTTGCAGTAAATTTGGCATACAAGTTGTTCCCAGTAGAGGGAGGGAAACTCAACAGCTTTGAGATTTTGAAATAAATCTTCTGAGTGCATTTTGAAAGCCCTGCCCAAAAGCTATAGAAGAACCCTCACATGAGCCCTTTAGTTGGAGTGGATGTTTTCTCTATTAAAAATATAGGTACTTGTTCCCTTTACACCCTTGTTTAGTTGTCCCTTCTGCTCTATAAAGGTATATTCCTGCATGGCGGACATGCTCAGTTCCTGCAGCAGAGAGGCACCCAGATACACTAAGAAGCATCACAAAGACCATGACTGGGCAAATGGAGCTTAGCATGGCAGCTATTGCCAGTACTTCTCATAACCTTGCCTTTACTGTTATCCTCCCCTTGCTCTTGTATTCCCATGCCTCCTTACCTGCAGGTCTCACTATCAGCATCACACTTGTTTTGCTTTCTCTCTCTCTCCTGCTCTCGTTCAAATGCAAAAAAAAAAAAAAAGAAAAAAGAAGATTTTTTTCAAGGAAAAAACACAGAACCACCTCCAGAGTCTGAAGGAACAGCTTTGCAGTGAGGTGTGGGGTATGTGTGTCATCTTTTGCATTCACCAATTCACCACCACGGCTAGACTATATTGCATGTACCACCTAGAGGTGCACTCCTTTCCCAACCACATGGGGAAAGCATTTCCAACAAAAGTGTCTCAGTTTAACCAATCCTTATTCTTATTTTCAGATGAAAAAGGACACGGTTTTCTCTGCACTTTTTGAAGACATGCTGACCTACACCTTCTTTGAGAGGATCACTGATTCGTTCCTGGAGAATGTCTCAGCAGATTCAACAAATGAGCTATCAGGCCACCAAGTACAATGCACAAAAGTTGCCTTTACAATGGAAGTTGCCACCAGACTTAACGCTGTGGACAACCATCCTATGAACCTGGTCTTGGGCTTTGGATTAAAGTACCTCAGAGAACACTTCAAGCCATGGATTCAGGACCAGGGTGGCTGGGTATGCGTTTCCCCTCCCTTGACTTACGCATTGCCTAAACTGAAGCAGCAAGCTTTCACAGCACTAACGGGGGCCAGATGCAAACCAAACCAAACTGCGTATGCTTTAGCACAGCATGTACTTCAGCTGTGGAATTACTTGCTACAAACATCTTCTATGCTGCAAGTTTCTTATTTATGTAGGTCCAAAACTCAATAGGAGACATTCATGGAGGGTTGTTAAGTATAAAACACACACAGTCTCTCCACCACAAATAGCTGAAGGCTAGAAGAAACACCAGGAAACTTCACGCTTGCCCTAATCCTATACTTCTCCGTAGAAGTCTGCTCTCAGCAGGTTCTGGGGACAGCACAGTAGTTCAGCAGTTCATACAATCTGCCCTTATGGTGTGGTATGCTTCCACTTCCCCTGTACAGAAAGACATCGATTTATCTTCAAAGTCAGTTGCACAAAGTGCTCTCTGCCAGCAGTGGTGCTGAGCTGCTGCCCTTTGTCGCTCATTTACCTGGGTTTGCTGGGATGCACTTGCAATGGAGACCCTAGTCCTTTTGTACTTCATGAAATGAATGGAGACACTCAGCAGCTGCACAGCCTGTGTCCATTGGAACAGATAGCATGTGAAGTCAGGAAATCCTATTGGCAAACCTACTGACACAGCTGAAATTAGGATGAGGGTCCACATTGCTTTTATAATTGTAAGTTTTCTTTCTGTGTTACAGGAGAAGGCTTTGACTTCACTCGATCAGGAAGAAGTAGAGTAATCATGACTGAATTCATTCTTCAGGGTGCATGAGCCTTCAATTAAGAAACACGCAGGATCTTACCACAATCCAATGCCAGAATGATTAGTGGCTATGTATTTTTTTTTTCCATGGAAAGTTGGAGTGTTGCACAGCTAACTCCAATGGGTAGAACTGCACTTTGTTAAAGTTGGTATTGATGGAGAAAGGTTCTTCAGTGGATATGAAGGCGCTTCCAACTCCCCTGGAGCATTGGGACACAGAGAGTGATTTCAGGTACCTTTATGAGTAGAGATGCTTGCCACTACTCTTGTGGATGCATGTGAAAGTGCAAACAGAAGGAAAATATCAAAGTACGCAATCAAGAACCAATGGACTGTGATCAAGCATCAACCAAGTGAGACAAGTGCTGCCAGCTTTGTCTGGTTCATAGTGGTACCATCTGTTACCAATTCCACAGTCACTTGTTAGAAGATACACCTACGCACTGATAGCCGTTTCCTCTCCCTCTATCTCTGATTAGATTTTCCAAAGTACTGATGCCATTTTATATTTCTGAAAGGGACTAAGTAAGGTTAATGAGGGCTTTTTACTCCAGTGCCTTCCCCATACTCCCAAGAAAACAGACTTCATCTACCTACAGATGCTTTTAATTTGAACTCTTTTGTTTGAAAGACCTTCAAAGCATAGTGCAATAGATGTTGACTTTTACAGCATTATTTTGTCTGTTAATGTGGAAGACAGATACAAACACTGTGTGAGCTTTGTAGTCCAAGAAATTTAAAATTTATCCTACTGTGTCAGTTTTCCTCCTTATTTAAAAGGAGCTCGATGACATGTGTAATCTCAGGGATTTCTCCGCAAATGGAACTGGCCCTTCAGCCACTGAAAAGAAGTGATCAGATTAGAGTTCTTGAACTTGTGTGTGTGGCCGTGGAAGGAACAACACTGCCTCATTTAGGGTAGTGAATACGGCAGTGGAACTATGCATGATTTTGAGGCTTGGTTTGCAGCCCATTTAGTTAGATGATTTCTGTCCCCCACAAATCCCCAGTGGAGAAAGAGGGAACTTGGGACACCTGCTGAAGCTGCAAAACCATGGCTTCGCTCCTGCGACTTTCCAGTACAAACAGGTAATGTTTCCTGAACAGGATGTCTGCCTCTCAGTAAGATGTTGTTCCATTACAGGTACTCATTCTGTGTGTACAAGTATGCTAACTGAAAAGATTGCATGAAGAAGTTATTAACAACTCATGAATTCGAATTCAAGTGATAAAAAGCATTTTAACCAGATATGTAAAAAATGCAATGCTATCAAAGATCAAGTATTTTTCTAATAAACCTTAAACTTCCAACTCATGTGTAGCAAACTCCGCCTCTGTTTGGACACCTATGTGTGAAACAAAAGATGGAGAAGTTAGAAGCAAGTTAGCTTTGTTTCCCTTCTTCGAAGGAGTTGGGAAATACTTTATGTATCTCTAGATCATAAACCTAAGATTCCCTTAGTTTTTAAGAACATCCACTCTTTCTGATCACTTCAGACGTCCCCAAAGGGAGAATGCTTTGTGAGGAAGAGCTAAGCACTTACCCAAAAGTTCAAAATGTTGTTCATCTCCTTCCATCTCTTTCTCCGACATCTTTTTCCTCCCACACATTGGAGGCTGCTGCCTTATGATAAATCTGATTGGTTTCTAAAGCACGCTTCTTAACTAGATCTTGGCTCTGAAGAACAAGATCTGATTACATTTTAATTACACCAAGACGAGACTCAGTCTGCTAGTGTACACCAGTTTGCCATTAGTCGGGCTCTAGCTTATGGAAGTCACTTCTTAAATTTTTTCTGCTTGAACAACAGTCTGCAATTTAGTGAATTGCAAAGTCTGGGTTTGGGAGTGTGGCTTTCCGGCTGAAGGTTTAGCAGCCCTAAACCCACACTTGTCCCTCATCTCCAGTTTTGTATCTCAGGGCCAGTTTCATGCCAAGAGCAGAGACAACAGCAAAATAGACCATCTTGAATGGGAATGCAAAAACCAGCCATATAAGAAAAGATATTCAGATGTTTTTTATTTTTCTCTGGGTTGTTAAGAGGGATTTTCTTTCAGTAGCAGTAGGGGCCAGCATAGGAAAACAGCCAAGTGAGCTGTTTCTTATTTAGCCATTCTTACATTTGTCATTCACATCAGCTAGATTTTAAGAGCAATCTACTCCTTTTATGGCAGGGATCTGTAGTAACCTCCTTGCTGGAATGATGGCTTTGGTTTATTCTAAAGCAGTCAGTAAGGCTGAGCACTGAGCTGTTGCCACTGCTGCTGCCTGGCATGAATTAACAAAGCTCTACTACTGGCTCAACCAGTCTTCACCTTGCTGTCTTGTTTTAATCTGTGACGACTAAACGAGCAGCAGACGAACGCTTGCGTTTTGGGTGTGTATGGAAGTGGAAGGGATGCTGTGAGGGAGGGTGACTAGCCATGCCTTCATTTTATGTTAATCTCTCACAAGGCACCTTTGTCTGTGTTTAGCTGTAGAACCCTCCAGTGCCCATTTGGGGTGTTACTGAAAAAGACAGAGACGTTTACTGTTAAAACAAGAAGCATTGTTGGTATTTTTCTTATTGTGTCTCTACCCAGGTCAGCATCATGCTATTTGTTAAAGCAGCAAGTTTAATTTTAAAATGAGCTGATTTCACTGTGGTTACAACAACAGAGTTTAGCCCTGGGCAGGTGATGCTGGGATTTATTTTTAAAGGACCCTAGAAGTGTCCTGCAGCTGTGTTAAAGGGAGTCAGTCCACAGGGGCAGCCCGTGTTAGCACCCAGGAGCTGCCGTCCAAGCTGAACGCCACCCTCCAAGAGCTGGGGCTCCACCAGTGAGTGGGACCTGCCCCAGCTGCCGTTCCTTGGAGCAGCTGAAGTGTTGATAAGAAGATTCCCCTGTCCATGTGCACACATGTTGCAGAAAGGTGCCCTGCCCTGCCTCACGGCCGCAGTCCCCCTTGCTCCAGCAAGTGAGCAGGAGGCAGAAATAGTAGAAAACAGCCCAGAGCCTCCACCCAAAACCAAACATTTGTTAAAGTAGTTTGCATCGTCTGGGTGTCCAGTATTATCCCTGCAGTTCAACTGCTAGGTTTCCCATAGCAGACTCAGAGGCATTGAATCTTATTAAAAAAAAAAAAAATTCAAATGGTACAGCCGGTAAATGAGCTTGAGCTGGATGCCTCCAGAGAGGGACCCCGAACAAAGAAATCTCTGTGCAATTATACCCTTACAGACTATGCACCCACCCCTCCCACACTCTGTTTCACTCACCTTTCCGTTCAATGGTGACTTCTGGTCCGAGGTCTCCTAACACCTCACTGGATCATTTCTCTGTCTCCAGGCAGGCCATTAACTGTTCTTATCTTGTCGAGTTGCAGCTTCTGCTGATGGTTGTAGCCTCCTTATCTTCTAGTCTGTGTTTCTTGTGCAGAGCATGGGAAACTGAAAAGGTCCTAGACTTGGGATAAGCTCAACTTAGCAACAACCAAAACATCAGTGTGTTATCAACAGTATTCTCCCACTAAAAAGCCACAACACAGCACTGTACGAGCTATCAAGGAGAAAATTAGCCCATCCCAGACAAAAACATTTCTAGGTGAAAGTTCACAGCTTGCAGCCTAAGGATTCAGCACACCCAGCTACCCCTGCTAAGGAAGTAATGCAAAACCAAACATACCAAATCACACAGCATTATGCTATGACCCCTGCATCCTAGTGCTAAATGATTAATTCACTCTATTTAAAACTTACTTATTTAAGCTAATTGACTAGTATCTCTTAACACATTTTACTTGTACCATTACATACCTTCGCTCATTTTCAGAGGGCTGGATTTTTTCCAGCTTTCAGGAAATGCTAGTAAATCTGGTATTTCTCCAGAATAGGCTGATGAGGCACACAGGGTCTTGTCACTGCATCTCATGGTCTCCCTCTTTTTAAGCTGCTTCTCCTTTCTTTCCTTCCCGCAGGTGAGTAGCGTGCTACTACAACCGATACACACATTTGAGTAATTGGAAAAGCAGCAGGTGGACAGAAAGTGAATTGCAGCAAAGCACCGAAGGGAATAGCTCAATAGACACCATTGTCTGAAAAGTGGATTTACTGCCTATGACTTGTCTGCTGTAAAGGCTCATGATCTGGAACAAGTTCAGGGTTAAAAGTTCACAGCCAGGGTGTTGCAGTGTGAGTGAAGGGTGAGAACCAAGCAGAAAACATTAAAGTTGATTACCTTGCTTGTTTTATCTGCAGCTGTGATGCTCTTGCCAGGGATGGTGTAAACCTCAGAAACTAAGACAGAAATTCTAGCTCTGCTGCATGATACCTAGCACAGCAGGTTGTGGGGTGGGGTTAAAAGATGTTCTGAGATTGGAGCTACTGCAATCCATCCTAGTCAACCCACAGAGAAGGTTTCTCCTCTGTCCCATGACTTGCTCGACTGCATGTCTGCTGCAGTCAAAGCTTTTTGTAGTGCAGATGCAGGGATGATGCATTTTCCTGCCTGGGGTAGCAGAAATGATGGGTTGCAAAAAGATTTGTCAATGAAGTCTGCATCTGTGCTGACTGATACGATTTCTATGCTGACTTTCACTATAGTCTTCCTCTTGTCTTTCTACCCCAGGGGCACTTTCGGCAGATCCATGCCAAACATGGTTCTTATCTCTTCTCTACGGGGGAGCTCAGAAGCTTCCCACCCAAAGCTAGCATGCCAAAAGGGAAACCGAGGTCATCACTGGATGCTGGAAGGAGATGGGACTTAGGTTTTTAAGAGTTAAACACCCAAAGTGGAACTTTCTGTCTGCCACTGCAGTGGTTCAGCTTTAAATATTCATTACACACAGCACTGCAATGGAAAATTTGGGTTATGCTTATCTTATCTTCCCTGGAGATCTGAACCTGGATTTTCTTGCATGCTAGCTAGCTGTTCTAGCCCGTCGATGTGGATAATACTACCACTTGTATAATACCACCAGTATTATCCTCTCTGCTC